GTAGCAGTAGCAGTAGCAGTAGCGGAAGAAGCAGTAGCGGAAGCAGAAGTAGTAGCAGTAGTGGTAACAAAAATAACAATCGTAGCAGTACCAGCACTAGCGGTAAGAGGGAGCGGCAGTGGTAGTGGTACAAGCGGCAGCAGTGCGGCAGAGAGCACGAGAAGTAGTGACTGTACTTGCGTCATGGAAAGAGGCGGTGGGGTGATGATTACAATAATGAAGGCAGCACCTGTTGTTGCATAGGAGCACTATTAGCAAACGGAGCTTCCTGCAAAAACAGAGGCACGAGAATAGAGATCAAATCCAAAGCTTCCCACTCATGACAGCACGAGTGCGTATCACACTTAGCAGCATTTCGGACCCTTTTTGCGGGACCCTATCAAAGGAGCTGTAGCTACCCGCTCTGAACGGCACTGCCCTCAATCAAAATCACCTTTGATCCGGAGAGCGCGCGCTTCTTGCTTGCAGTCTCGGCGCATGACTCTGCAAAACCCCCAACCCCTACGTGGCGCCTAGTCGTTTGCCTTGGCAACTTCCTGGCGCCTGAGCTGACACCTGGATTGGGGACACCTTGTAACAAAGGGACTGTATATGATGTGGCAGGTACACAGTGACAACATATTAACACTGGATGGGGGCGCCTTTGGGGGATACAACACCTGGAGTAGGAGTAAGGAGAAGCTCCTCCATTTCACGTGGAATGTGTGCTGGACTGTGCTGGCTAAGGGAAGACTTAGAGCTTTGCAGTCAGGCTTCGGATAGGGCAAGGACCGGGGGTCTTAAGGCTTCGGGCTCAGATTCAAGATGCAGACATTAGAGTTCCGGGTGTTGGACTTATAGGCCCCTACTTTGGGAGCTATCACAGTGGGTCCAGCCACAAAGCTGCCGCATGCTGCTAACTCATAGCACCATCACTACACCATCATCAACATCATCATCATCATCATCATCAGCATAATCATCGATGTCGACGTTTTCCTGACTCGATATGATAGGCCTGAAAATCTGTGCAACTTTCATTATGATATCCTGCTAGATTTGCAGTTTTTCTTGTCTTGCATGCTGACAGAGTAGATATAAGGGGATGCAACATGACCACTGGATCATGTAGCGTTCTTGCGATTTGAGGGGAAGTTATAGACTGACAGTCTTCGCTGCTGGATAATAAGCTTTGCAAAAGCATCAGTGATCCCCTGTGAGACTGTAGTGCTTCTCGACACAGGGATTCGGGTGGACATAGCTGATTTCAAAGGCTCTTTCTGGGTGTCCTGGCCTTGCAGATCCTGTTGGTGGGGGTAATAAAGGAAGGCTTGGTTCCAGACACATCCTCAGGCGTTCCTCAAAGCATCCGAAGGCTGCAGTTGCGCAAGCATTCGCTTCATGTTCGACCAAAGCATCCCTCGACAAGCCTACTGATGTGCTGATAATCAAATAGTAGACTTCCGATCAACGTTTGTAGGTTTTGGGCGCTGCGGGAACCCAAGAGTGACAACCAGAATTCTGAATCCAAAGGTCCTACCTGCGACCTTGAAGCAAAAGGTGCCGGGCCCCGCACAACCTGACAGAAAGCTGCGCCGAGCAAAGGACGCCAACTCATAATCGGCGCAGGCCATGGGACACAAGGATTTAGGGTTTGTAGGGTCTGGGGATTTGAAGTGCAGATGCATAGGGCTGCCCAAAGAAAGGGTTAGGGGCTTCAGAGCCAAAAGCTGGAGGGTTCCAATTGAGGCCCGGCGGACATTTCTGGTGGGCTTCAGCTTTGGAACTTCGGATTTGACATCGCCATGGCATTAGCCCAAGAAGCCTCAAACATGTTTGTGAAGACGTGTGATTCTTTCAGGAGGCCCCGCTAAAGGTTGCTGAAGCAAGCTGGCGCGGACAAAGCACGATTATGCATGTCAGCGGTTTTCCAAAATCTGCGTGAGCTTTTGGTGTTGAGTCAACTTGAGCCTGGAACTTGCACAAGCTAGTACCAGGACCAGTGGCAGCAGTAGCCGAAATGTGGAAAGGTAAGACTGAACTTCATGATCATAAGGATCATTCGTCCAAGAAATGTAACAGCAAAACGAAGGACGCTTATGGAATTAATCGTTCGGTGAGGCCTCAGGCCGAACTTCAGCTCCCTGCTACAGAATTTGGTTTTGCACGCGGATAGGGGTGTGGGGGATCCGTCGGCCGTGCGAGCTTCATGAGGGCATTTATCCTTTGAGCACTGGATTCTGTCCGGAAAGCTCCTACGCTTGCACACGAGCAGCAACTGTCCGCCGTTGCTCGGGTCGGTGGTTAAATCCTGCCCGGCCGCCATGGGAGCCCGTGTCTAGTGCTTTAGACCCCTCGTGCCAGCATCATCGGACCTCTGTTTCTCAAAGGGCCCCTCCTAGACCCCACTCCAAAAAATCCCAAACTCACATTCATGCGTTTTCAACGCTTCCCCCGCTACTACGGAATGATAAACTAGCCACAAGGCCCGTCTGAGGCCAGGGCTGAAAAAATACGTTTTCAATGAGAAGCCATGCGGTACAGGGGAAGTCAAAATGGATAAACGGATCCAAATCCAAACTGCATCATCCGAATACTTTGGGCCCCGCTTCTCCTTTATCTAGGCCTCTATACTGCCCGTGCCTGCTTGGCCAGGCCTGATAGGGCTGAGGGTTGGATGCTGGTGCTTCTTTGCGAATGCTATGATGGGTTTACATTTTGCATGGGAATACTGTTGAGAGGTGCGGTGATGGGTTCCGGGGTTTATGATGGTCTGATGCAGGTTTTTGTTAGTTGCATGGGACTTGCGGGTTGATTTTCAGGTCTACTGCGCGTGATTCTTTCGTGAGGATTCCAGGATGTTTTTGCTGGCTTTGCAGAACTGCGCACGCGGGCTCTTATGCCAGCGCCGATGAGTTTGCGGGATTTCGGCCACTTGAAAGGCACTTTTTGCGCTGCAAAGCGCTTTTTAAGCGGCTGGGATGATTGAAAGTCCCCAAAAGTGCAGCTGACTAGCTAAATGGACTGACGCTCGCAAACGGGGCGCGCGTACACAAGCATCGAAAGCGCAACTGAGGATAAAGCAGTTTCAAATGCACACGGAGTGATGTTTGAAGGATTTTGAGGGGTCCTCAGGACCGGAAAGCCTCATGAGCGCATATTCTGGCCCCGAGGAACATGTTGGGCCTGAGCCAAGAAAAGCTTGGATTGATGGGTAAGTTAAGGGGCACAGGAAGGCCAACAAATGGGGAAATGGCATGCCCATAATGCTAATGGTGCTGGCCAAGGGGGCCAACATCATCGGCATCGCTGGATGTCCTTTTCCCTTTCCCAGGACCTACACTATACTATTGTGAGTCACCACTACAATTCCGGCCACTCCTATACTGTACTTCTTGTCCCTTACTTACTGTCCCTGTTACTCTTCCTATCACTCTCTTGCTGTTGGCTGCGAAGGTGGCAGGGCCAGCCCCTGCCAATAGGCCTGAAATCCGGCCTAGCTCTTGGTCCAGTGCGGATGGTCGCCTAGCTGAAGAATTTTTTTCTTCGTTGTGGCGCCAGAACCGCTGACAAACATTAATACGATTGTTGTGCGCCTCGTTGAGGCTTCCCCCAACGCTACGGAGAGTTTGCGGCACTGTTGTCGGCCAGCATCATCAGCACAATTGGGCCTTCCCTTCTCACGTTTTGACATCTGTAGGGTTTTGAAAGGGTGCTGGATCCTCATTTGCGCAGTGTCGAGACGGATGGGAACCAGGCAGGCCCCATGATGCTGATAATGCTGGGTTCTTGTGGGCTGCCGGGGCCTAAAATGCGCTACAAATCAGCAAAACGGTTTGTGAGCAGTATTTGTGGCTTTAAGTGCCAGCATTGGTAGCACCTGCCCTGCATGACAAGCATGCAAACGACTTTGCATGCATCACAAAGTCAAACTCTCTAAACTGTGCATTTTGCATGGCCTCTTCTTTTACGTGTATTTCCAACACTTGCAGGGATCCCATGCTACCACTGTAAACCTGCAAAAAACACATGTGAGCCAAAACGTGATCAGCTTGCGCAAAAAAAATGTTCCAAGCGTTTTGGTTGGGCTTTCTTGGGTTTTGTAGTCCTGGTCCAAACTAAGTGTCAAATGGAGTCCCAATCATGCTGATGATGCTCATGCGTGATGAGCCCCTACGCAAGCATCATCAGCACAAATGGGACCCAGTTTAAGGTTAACTATGGACAAAAAACCTTGAAAGCCCGAAAACATATCCAATTTTGCGCGCATCACTCTTGCATCTTGCATCATCAGGGCTTCGGGTAGGCATTTTGGGAAGGGGGTGGCCAGACTGGTTGCCGCCGGGCCCGGAGTTGTGGCTTTGACTTCATGATAAAAAGTATGGAGCGAGCGCGTGGACGTGATTTTTGTTTCGAGAGACTATCACATGAAACAGACCAGCATTGTGAAGCCACTACTGCAACGTTGGATATTGGCATTATCCTGAGTCCTTAGTGTCATGCTGTCAACCTGACCATCCTCATGAGGCTTTGTTACCAATGCTCAAACTATGCGCCTGCCTGCAGCAGTAACAGTACACATTGCATCAAGACAGAATAACTGCTCACATGGGTGGGACTGCATCAATTCGGTTACCGCGCGCCCATTTATGGAATGTATATTCCCAAGAAGAAATCGAAGTAGCTACTGGAAGTCGATGGGAGTGGCACGGAAGTCTTCTGCTCTCTTGGGCGATCGGTTTCCCCTCAGGGTCTGTCTGTACAATGTTCATTGCACAAGCGTGCAATGCAAGAGGTTGCAGTTCCATGGATTAAACTATACAGTTGAACAGGCATTGGAGATGTTAGATCGACTCCATGACGCCTGCATAAACATGTTCTCATCCTGAGAGAGGCAAACGGAAACAGAGAGGGAGGGAGAGAGCACCGACCTGCAGTTACGCTGCGGCCGAACACCCACGTGAATATCCCTCTCAAAACCGCATGCTGAAATCTCTCAAATGAAGAAGCAATCCTCCGGCGTGTCTTCGACAGGACCGGGAGGCCTCGGGTGCTGCAAGGCCTGGACCAACGAAGCTGGTGCGCAAACCGTGCGAGCCAAATCCGCGGCCGTCTTCCTGCGGGAGTTTTGGATGTCCAGTCGCGCCCCGGCAGACATGAGCAGCAGTGCAGCCTCGTAATTACCAGTCAGAACACTGAACATCAAAGGCGTGGCGCCAGCGTGGTGGTACGCAAGCGTCGTCCAACTTGAAGGGCTGAGCCTGTGCCTGGGTCTAATAACCGCTTAGGTAGGGTCCCAAAGGGTCCAGGGTCAGCTTGAATATGCTGAAATGCTAGATCACATGCTGGTGATCCCGTGTATCCAACAAGCCCACGCAGCCCACTACAAAATATCAAAAGGCATGCTGATGCATGCTGGCGCCTCGCGCTGGCAAGATGAAGCAAAATCCACCAGGCTGGCTGCTGGATGTGAATTTGGAAGGGCTCATTCAAGTTGGCCCCGGCCCGGATCAGATATCCTCCAAATTAACATTTAGACCGAGTCAAAGATATCGAACACTGTAGCAAGCAAAGAAGCCTGAAACATTTCCTGACGGCTCAGCAAGTCTCGTATGGGGTCTTCATAGGCACCATAAAACATCAGTGCATAGTGGAGGCCGAGGCGGAGGTTGGTTGAAGGGACTTCAGCAAGCACTTCCGCCATTGTATCCACGGCTCCATTCGAACATGCAACTTCAAAAACGTTCATTCCAACAAAGTTTCGCTTTGTGAGATCCGCACGGGCTTTCAGCAGAAGGCGAAGGCCAACAGCATTATTTGCCAGACTTGCCCAGTGCACAGCAGCAGCATTGATCATGTCCACGCTGTGCAGCGATGCCCGAGCTTTCAAAAGCATCTCCATGGCCTCAGGGTCTAGCAACGAGGGTCTGAGGCTGAGGCTGAACTGCCCAGGACCTTGCCTCGTTGTTGTGGAAACGGGCCGCCACAGAAAGTACACCCACGCGCGACGGGAACAAAGAGCCCTCCGGCTTTTGTAGGCGATCCTCAGCTGATGAGCCTGTGAACATTGCATGGATAGCCAACCATACAAAAAATAGTTTGCGAAAGTGGCAACTGAGGACATTGTCAGAAATCAATATGCTAATCGTGTGCGCACAGTACTGCAGAGGGCATTCCAGGCGGCTTTACACTAAGTGTATTTGCCCAGCTCTGTCAGGGTGACAGGTAAAGCTGAAGCAGAAATGCTTGTAGGCTACCTGTCGCTTTTTGATAGAGGGTGCTAAACATGCATAGCCAAAGACTCATTCGGGCTCGCCTTGCTATCCAGCAATTCCTGGACAAGGGCAGGGCTGCCTTTCATCGCTGCAAAGCAGAGCGGCGACCAACCCGCTGAGTCACGCTGAAGCGGATGGCTAAAGCCGTTCTGATGAAGGAACCTTGCTAGGGAAAAGGCCCCTGGTCTCTGGAAAGGATCGACCTCCGTATGGAAGCCCGGAACCAATCCATCTACTGGATCCATGTCGAGGCCCCGGAAGCAGCAAGGTCCTCGAGGGGTCCATGTGGCGTTTGTTAGTGAAGCCACCTGTATGGTGGGGCTGGTCATCAGGCTGACTCTCATTCAAAATTAGTGGCTTGCGCGATCCTTGGGCAACGTGGCTTAGATTTATCCCCAGCTGGTCAAAATTAGGCCTGGGACCTCAGCCTGCTGGAAGGTAGGGTCCTTGTCGATTCAACAAGAATCTGTAGCCATGCAGGTCTCCCTGCTCGAGCAAGTACAGCAATTTGTTCCAAACCATCTGAACCAACGCGCTGGCAACAATGGCCTTGTCCGACTCTTGACTCCATTCGCCAAGACCAGGGGCATCTAGCAGCCTCAGAATATCCAGGCTCAACGTCTGCTGCGTCGCGCTCTCAATCACAATCGTGTAGCCGACTTTCCGTGCAGACAACTCCCGTGCAAGTCGCTCAGTACGGCACCTGGGTCCCCCGCTTTTGTAAGTTGGTCTGCTTAGTGTGATCTTACAAAAGGGCTTTTGATAACCAACAGCTCGTACTGCTTCCAGACATAGTTGCCAGCCACGCTCAGCCCAAGTTGCCAGGTTCAGTGTTCTCCGTTTGTCAACATGCTCCACAATGGGACAGAGTATGATAAAGTACTCACATCTCGCAACATATGTAGGTATGCTGCGGATTGCGCAAGCTCGATCGCTGGCAGCGTGCAATGACAGCTTTTGTGGGCAGCAAAGGTAATCATACCAGACATAGAGTGAATCTGCATTGAAGTCTGCAGCTGATGGACAATGCAGGCGTCCGAACGCAAGCTCAGCCGAGATTGGAAGACTCACTCGGGTGACGCCTAACAAGATGTTCTGCATGGCCTCCTGGAAAACTCTCCACTGCGCGTGATTCGGGTCGGGATGGGAGTTGCCAACCCATTGGTGAGAAACAAATATGGCCTTGCCCAGCTTCTCATCAAACACCGTCAGGCTGTTGCTTTCACGCATCTGCTCAAAGGACATAAGCACTGCCATTTGGAGTACTTCCTTCAGCAGGACCTCATCTGCGTACGCAGAAGTTCGTGAAACTTGCAATATGTAACAAAAACTCCAATTTTTATATGACGCCCAAGGACCGTATACATAGGAAATTCGGTCTCCTCCCGGCCAGATCTCCTTTGGGTCATCTCCACCTCCGGAACCTGGCGAAAGGGGATCACCATCACGTAAAAACAGATAAGAGAAGGCATTCATAAGCCTCTAGTGCTTTAAAAAAGCTCGGTCCAAAGTCTCCATTTGCCTAAGCTTCCCACCCAAGAACATACCCCTGGGGTTTCTGCTGCTGGTTTCTGAAGGCATGTGCTTCGCAAGCCACGCCTGACTCAGAGCAGAAGCACACCGATCCAGCGGAGTTGGGGACATGTTTCCAGCCACAACTCCAAAAAAAAGATTCGAGCCACCTCCAAAACATCCAACACCTAGGGCTCTCCAAGTTGGGGCTGCCCATGCATAGGAACACAAAGAGGCTCTGCGGCAGTAGAATCTCTAGGAAGACTGGGATTGTCTTGTAGCGGGTGGAGCCCATGGAGAAGCCTTTCCGGAGGCCTAGAGCTCTTTGTACGGCTGACAGGGAACAAAAATGTTCCCGGCCTCCATCCTCGCAGTATTATGACATTCAACGACAGTAGGCCAAAGTCATGCATGGGCCCGGAAGGAAGAGATGAATGCTTGGCACCAGAAGATGTCCAATGCTAGGATACCTCAAATCTACGTCAGTGCACCTTCTTACATGCTGCATCTTGAGATTCCTATTTATCTTGGTCCAACCCTCAGATCGCGTTTTGTCACGTCACGACGCCCGGTTTACAATCTGACGTCAAAAGGCTTTGGCGCCAGGCTGAAGGTAGGAGCCCTCGGCACGTTAAAATTGCCGCAGCCCCTAGGAAGGCTATTGGTAAAGCGGGTTTTTCCCAAAGTGCTTGCAGACTGGTTGCACTGATGGCATGTAAGCACCAAGTCTTCCAGATGCAGGTTGTGATTTCGAGAAACCCCCACATGGGCACAAAGACCACATTCAAAGCATGTACAAGCGATAGGATGTGTTGCAGACAGATTTTTACCTCGGCCATAGCGAAACGCCTAGGCCTCAGGCTCATGACTTGCCTGCATTCAAATCTCAGGGAGCAAAAGAAGGCTGCCCGGTCGCCAAACGCGACATGGTCGGGAGACCCAGTGCACCAAGGCAACGCCACGCAGCCATGACAGCTGGCACTGAAGCTGATTTTTGTTGGTTTAATCTAGGCGGACTGCAGAAGAAATACTGGCACCTAATAAGGTGAGCACACTTTTCAAGCTTCACGCGTAGTGGTAGGGCTAAATGTGAGGAGGGGGCACTGCACATTTCTCCAGCCCGAGAGCCTGAGCAAAACCACCCAAAGGTAGCGTAGCAGAACCTCGCTTTCAGAGGCTGAACCATCGACCTCCTTCACTTCTAGCAAAAACTGATGTGTTCAAGCAGCGGAAGAACCAGCAACTAAACTGTGTTTTTCCGGTCGTACCTTCGGGCCCTCTGATAATGATTCAACTTCTCCACAAAGTACCCGATATTCCCCTACTTACATAACATCTTGCTGCACTGCCGGATTCTACTGGAAAACAGAACTCCTGAGCAGAATATTAAAAGCTGACGTCCTGTTCGAGGCCCCCGTCTAGGTCGATTCCCACCCAGCTATGCCAGCCCTGGCCTGCTACATTTTCAGCCAAGCGAATGTATATAGGCCCTGAATGGCCGTGATGAGAAAGCGCATCATAATACAACTTGGACCTTTCAAACAATACTAACCTGAACGCCAAAAGGGCGGGACAACAGATCTAGATAAGGCCAGCGCCTAGACAAGACTTCAAAAACAACGGAAGGGCGCAATCTAGAGAATGACTGAGCTATATGGCACATGCTTTCAATGCCGGCCATGACTGGTTGCTGAATTCATCAGACGCACATGCCTTTGCGATCACAAACAGCTCGCATGGGCAGCGTCCTTAGTTGGCTTCAGTGCTGGGCTTTGTGGCTTTGTGGCTTTGCGGTGTGTATATATTTACACATTTTTCCTAGATCCGCCGGGCTTCGTTAGGGTCTGCTTAGATGCACACCGCGTCGCCAGGTTTCACACTGTGACCCTCAACGCCGCACGACGAGGTTACCCCCATCAATGAAACCATAATTGGGGGGGCGCCGACAAACTCACCAGGCAGCTTTCCTCCTATCAGAGGAATTGTGGACACCAGCCTGACAACACTTAGTTAAGGAATATACCCTAAGTGATACTAGTCGCCCCTGTCTGATTTATAGACATTTGTTGAGTTTATCGGGTCTTCTCTTTAATGACAGGTAATGGGCTCCCTCGGTCTCAGACACCACATCCCTTCGAGGCCTATGGCAGCAATCATCCACACCCAAATCTGAAACATGAATGGATGGATGCAGAATCACCGAAAGTTACTTGCCTGCCAAGTCGTTTTCTTCAGAATCTGATCCCCTGAAGTAGGAGCCAGAAATTCCCCCGTTCCAAAAAAATGTACGAGCGCCATTCGATGCCGTGAAAGGTAATTGGATTTTCTAAATTCGCGTGACTGTAACTGTGGCTTCGGCTCCAGGCGACTGTGTTCGAAACTGTTTTATTGCATCATCATCATCATCAGCATCATCATCATCATGGTACAATATGCACGTGGGAGAAGCGAAAGTCACAACGGCTGCAATGCAAGACGAATATTTGTCAATGCGAGTGCAGGGCTCATACCTGTGCAGCTCTGGCACAAGGAGCCGCGCTTGCAGACAAGTCTATGCTTCATAGGACGACACATGCGAGATTATGCCTATCACTCCGAAGACGCACAGAACAGATACAATATAAAGTATAACCAGCGTAAAACCTCCGCGTCAGCGAGAGGGTTATCATGATTTGGGCATGAATGCTGGCGTGATCGCATGCGATTAGCACTGGAGGCTATGCTATCCTTGGACTAACGGTAAACGTCCTTGGCCTACTGGGGCAACGATAAAGCTGAAATCAGAACTCCTCACGCCTTTGGACTGATGGGGCGTAGCTTGGACAACTCTGAACAATCCCTGGACTACTGGAAACGATCCTTGAACTAACAGTCACGATCCGTGGACTGATGGGAACGATCCTTGGACAACTGGGCCGACGTAGGAATGGATGAGATTCGGACTTGGACCTGGATGCTCTGGTGATCGCATGCAATTAGTGAGAGAAAATGCTTTGGGCATCGATGCTCTGGTGATCGGATGTAATTAGGAATGGAAGATATTATTCTAGTTTGCGCATGGACGGTCTGCTCGGAGCCACTTTCAAGCCAGACACCTCATCACCGAAGGGAAGAGAATGAAGGTACAGAAACCCACACGACAGACGTGTTTCTACCCCGAACAAGGCACTTTCGAACAATGCCCCAAGCCCTCCTTGACCACCTACGCAGACAGCTCTGTGCACAATCAGAAAAAACTGTGAATACCAGTGGCTTCTATTTACGACAACTGTAGGGACGACCCCGCTAATCTCCACCGAAAGCATAAGACCTAACAGCAGATTCAAAAGCACTGCAAATAGCGGTCAATTGGGCTCCCTCCCGAATCTTGACACCCGACCCTTCCGACCCGGTCGGGGCAAAATTGCCCTACCTCCCACGACTATTTTGACCTGCGCTCAAGTCGCTCAAATCCTCCTCTTTCGACGCTCGAAACTTTGGCCTAAGACTCTTCAAGCACCTCACCGAAGCCCTGGAAGCCCTGTAGAGTGCGTCCTGGGCGCCTTGGACAGCCGCGCATCGGCGGAATGGCTTCGCGCGTGCCCCCCTGCTCTGGAGTGAGAGCTTTCAGCCAGATGGGGCCCAGGACATTGATCCCCAAAAGAGGGGAAGCCATCCAAAAGAAGCTACTGGATCGAATGCTAAGAAGGACAACTGGACAAGCAAAGATAAAGACAAAACTCAATTTGTTGAGTAACGACGATATACATGAACAATTGAGTAATGAGGAAGCAACTATACTTGCAATTTAATCATCCGATTTTGTTGTTATGATACATCAGAGTATGAGCACACGCTTGATGCACAGAAGTAGAGGCCCTACGACCACAGAAAAGTGAGCCCCAAAGCCCTGAGGACCCCATGCGGCCTCCGGCATGAACTGCACCTCACATGCGGAATACGCCAAATCCTCCTTTGGAGACTTCGCCAGGCGCCCTGCTGCAGATCCGCCTTGAGCCAAGGTTCTTTTGCGGGGGGTTGTCAGAGGGAAAGCGGCTTCTTCTGCAGGAATGGGGATCCGAAATCAGGATTTTAGAGGAAATTCTTTGAACAAATCCTGTTCCCGGGCAAGACGTTCAAACGTCAGGAGGCCTGGCTCGGTTGTCTCTTTCATTTTGCGCGGATCGGGGAGGACTAAGGTGAAGCATGTGTAAGCAGCACTGGAAACCGAACCCCTCAACTTTATCGCATATCTTTGTAAATCCTGAAGCAACACAACCCATGCTCTGCAACGTAGGCACAGACATCTGGCAAGTACCTGCCGCGTGTCGCGCGGGTCCTTGGCGCGCAGACAGGGGTTGGAAAGAGGAGGTGAACGGATCACGTCTAGCAGAAGCGGAGGCCACAGCCGTAGGAGTATGATATTCAGCATGAGACCTGGCCCCAGCTCTGGGCAAAAATCGAACAGAGAACCAGAAGGAGCGTAAACTACATAAACATCAAGTCGCACGCAGCTCTCCTTTGTGTCAGCGTGGGCTGAGAACAGAAGAGGTCTTCGCAGGAATCTAGCTACCCGGCTTGTTCTTCTCCTTGCCACCCTTCCGGGGTCCGCACAATGATTCCATCATCCCAGAGTCGAGATGTCGAGTGGTAAGGGTTTCCTGCTGCTTCATGAATATGGCTTCTACAGCGTGATTCCACATCTTTAACCGTAAGCTGAAAGCATGTGGGGATGGCAGAAGGAGCAACTCTGATGGAAAGAGCAGCAATTTACAGATGCGAGATTGCAGTAGCCGACAAATCGCGATGCCTCCGTATGAGAATCAAGTAGTGTGTCATTTTAGATTGGGTTTCGAGATTCTACTGATTGAAGAGCTATGTAAAGACCCTAGCCACTCCGAGACGACCTCAAATGGTCAGGCAAACGCTCCTTATTTAATCCTGATGAAGTGGCAGTTTGTCGAAACTGTGGCTTGTTCTGGTGTCCCTATACACAGATCAGCTGTATACTTATGGACGGAATCCAGGGAATTCTCATTTTGAGCAACTCCCATGTAAACGAACTCCTGCTCCAAACCCCCGAAGCTCTAAACCTTCTACTCCCATAGACCTTAGATCACGTACATTTCAAAACTTCTCTGATTTCCCTGACTCTCTGAAACCCGNNCCACCCCCCCCCCCCCCAGGCACCCCAGGCCTTCAATTAACCCTGCATAACGCCCCAAAACCCAGCCCACCCAGACATCAAGCCCCAAATCCTGAACACTAAATCCCCCTAGAACCCCGTTCCGGCCGGATCCGGCCTTCGGCCTCATACTTCTCTAGGATGGGCCGCTTGAAGTCTTCCAACCTCGACAGCTTGGGCATGCTTGGGCATTTGCTGGTTCTAGGCATTTTGGGTTAACGGCTTTGATTCTAGGAGTTTGGGTCAAAGGTGTTAGTGGTGGAGGCTGCTCTGGCCTTTCTGGATGGCATGTTCTTCACAGCATTATTTTTTTGCAGATGGCTGCAGGATGTTGTTGTAGTTTGTCCTCGCCAGCTGCCTGTTCTTTGAGCCAGCTGTGCCATTATCTATTATCTGGGGTAGCTTGGGAGATCTCCGCTGTCAATGCCTGTTATGAGCGGGGTCACCCTTTCGACGCCCCTGCAGCGGAAAAAATCCTCGTAAATTCTATGCTGAAATACAAGAAGGTGCTAAGCAACATAGTCAATGACTTCTCACACTGACCAGAGCTCGTGAATCACAAATGCATACTCCTCAACACAAAGAGCACCCACAATCAGCGGTGCACAAGTCCACAATCGCCCCAATTACAAGACGGAATGGACGGATTACACTGATTGTTCTTCGATTATTCATAAATAGGCGTAGTAAACTACAGGAAGAACAGGCCCTTACATCACCGGCGAGGGCGCGCAATTCCAAAAAAGCGGCTCTTTCTCACCCATCTCCGGCTTTCCCTGCCGTTTCAACTGCGCCTGCAGGCTCAAAGCAGCTTCACAGCGGAGACAAGCAGGTAAGCAAGACTTCAGCAAACCTGTTTAGAGCTTGGGGTTTGCTGTGGAAAAGGTCGTGTCTACTCCTCCACTACCAACATTTGAATATAGATCTCAAGGAGATGCGGTTCCTCACTTCAGCACTGTGATCCTTCAGAGACCCTACTGTTCTAGGTACTATTAAAGCTGCGTTAAAGATTACACAGAGAAGGCAGGCACTGCATCCGGAACCCAAGGGCATAACATGCAAGCTGGTGCAAAGTCATCGTGAGTTCTGCAAGGGGAAGGTATCATCAGGTGAAGGGACGTTCCAGGAAAGCTTATGACCTCGGACAAAGAAAACAGAATCCGCGTCCGGATTCTCTTTAGAAAGAGGCCCGGAACACAAAATCGCCACGGGCAACTCTCAGCATCTCCTGCAAGGAGCCTGCTTGACAGTTGAAAGAACCTCTGCTGCCTGTGAACCACCCATCACGCCGATTCCTGGCTGGACGAGGTCGAGTTCCATGTAGGATGCAGCACGAACCTTTTCGGTGAGGATCTGGAATAAGTTGCAAAGACAGCTTTGAAAACTCTGCATTGGATGGGTCTCTCCCGCCATGCCACATGCATACTTAAAGCCCTACTGCTCTCCCAAGCTTGCTGGCAGCGCGGGCATTGGGCCACATGAACAGGAAGCGAGGATCGAAAGCACGTCCGCACCTGCAAGAAGGTAGTTTCTCTTGTCACCTCTCTGCAAACAGAGCTTTGGGAACATCAAGATTCGGAGCTAAGGCTGCAGAACAAAGATTCAGGCTTGCTAGGGTGGGGTGGCACTATCTGGCACCCAATTCCCTGATACAAGCACATGTAGAGAACCGGGTACCCATGGGCTGCTCCACAAGCATGAAAGACATGCTTTCGGCTGCAGCCAGCCTAAGACTGGAAGCCCTCGCTGCCTGGAGTCCCTTTTAAGCACGTACCTTCTTTTTGCACGGTTCGCTGTAAGCATTGGAAAGCCCTGAAGACCAGTATTTGCGTCGAGGCACATGCCATAATTCCCAGCGCCATGGCTTCCAGCCACAATCACAGTGATCCTGAATTCGCAAATGCATTGCCCTCCATGGAGTACCTTAAGGCCTGGGGCTGCTTGACAGCTAGCCAACGATCCTACGGATTGAGGTCCAGGAGCACCGCGCAAGCGCTACCAAAGCTTCAGAGGGTTTGGGAGGGGCCTCAGCCATGCACAGGACGAATTGCAGGCTAGGGAGGTGATTTCCTAATCGTGCTTGCAGAGCCTTATGGACGCATGTCATAGAAGATAAAAAAAATCAGCACTGCCACAGCCGGCCTGCGCAAGCCAGAATCCTGATACTCAAATTTCATGCATCTCAACTTCATCCACTCAGCACCTTAGCCTTAGAACCTATCTGGCTGGCGGCTGAAGCAGGCACTCCAACCTCTTTGAAAGACAAGCGTCTTCGGCACGTCCACACACGCCACAGCATTGACCATTTTGGCCCCATCGCGTGCAATGCCACCATTTTCATAAGCCTCTGGCAACTACCGTCTCTCTGTGGCAGTTGTCTGAGTGCAACGGAAAAACCGATCTTGTCTAAACAACTGGGGTGCGCTGGTTCGACTTCAGCAAATCACTCCGGTGGAAGAAATGCGCCTAGAATGTGTGACAACTACCGCGGCAAGCATAAGGTCTCCCCAAATCCCGAACATGAACAACTCGGATCACTAGCCTTGCCCACCATGAAGCCGGTGATGTTCTGCAGAAACCTCTGGTTAGCTTGGGTTAAAGGTTTTCGGTGTTAGGAAGGCTGGAGGGGGTTCATAGCAGCACCAAGAGTTTGATAGATTGGGCTTGTCCTCACGCGCTGCCTGCCTCAGGGCAATGTCTCTAACTAGGAGTCCCCCTAGTGATCCTGGACTTGAAAACCTAACAACTAGCCGACGTCACGCGGAAAAATCTATGTCCCAGTTGAGGCTCCCGTTCTCTGGACTCATCGATGGATGGTTTAATATTGTTCAAACAAGTTCGGACGGAATACCTGCATGGCAGTGCAGAAGTGCTAGGCACTGGCGACAGGGCACAGGTGCAACAACTGTATACAGAATTTTGTGATAGCCGTTTTACAGGTCTTTGACTCTGCAGAAACGTATTCTGCTCGGAGGATAATGTGTCTTCAGGGAATACGGTAAGGCGGGGAGGCTTGGTTCTGGCTGGCCTCACATATCGAAATTCACTATGCTTTGTGTTCCGCTGCATCATGCTCCCAGGGAAGGTTACACGACAAGCTTTCCGTTGTAGACGCTGTGCTTGGTCAGACATCTAACTTCACAAATGCAAACTTGGATGGAACTTCATGGAGACCCTTTGCCAGGAGTCTTGTTTTGCAACAGTACAACCAGTAGGAGAAGTTAAAATGTCACGTCAACATGCCACTTTTGAAAGAAACAGTGCATGATAGTGCATGTTCGTACGTGTATGAGGTAAAGCGGTAACCACTTCCGCCCATATACGACATACGTACCTTACCTCGCATCCCGTCAAGAATTCCAAAACTCAACGGCAAGAGGCAAACCCAATGCCTAAGAACTCAACTGTGCGTAGCGTAGCTGCAGCACGAGGATGCAAACACCAAGGCCAGAGCAGGAGGGGAATCCGCCGCTGACCACAAAGCTGCACGAAGTGCGCTCCTTTGGTTGCCTTAGGATTCATGCTTTTGTGGAGGAGGAGCTTGGCGCATGATAGAAGTTCTTCGGGCTTGGGGCCAATGGAATTGTTGGGCTTGAGACTTTTGAGTTCGCTTGGAAATGAGGAGTCCGGAAACCTCAGAACGGAGGAGCTCCATTTATGCGAGTGCAGAAAGCGCCAAGCTTCAAATGTTCTAGCTGAGTGGTGCAGCTTTGCGTGTTGAACACGATTCTTGATTCAAGGGGTCTGTATGGTTGGGGGTTTAAGGTTTAGCGTTGCGGGCGTAGGGTCTACGGCTCAGAGTCAGGGGTGGAAGGGCGCAGCTTTGGGTCAACTTTGAGATTGCCTGTGCTCCTCCGCCTTAGGTCCTGCTGCTCCCAGAGGAACGCGATCCTCTCAAAGAAGCCCGCATGGGAACTGACCGAATCTTGTTTGATTGCTTGATGCATGGGCTGGAGTGAACTAATGCTACGAAAGTCAAGTTCTCCTGTGGGGTTTCGAGTTATAAGCTGGGCAAGGAGGAACGTAGCCTACTAGTCATCATGAAAAACACTCCATCTGCTTTTGCGACATTTCGTCGCGTGTGTCTTGGATTGTCTTGCAGCCTCCATTGATTGTAAGCGTAGCTAGTCATTCAGGGCCTTGTGGGTAGGATTCTACCTTCCGAAAGCCTGAGCCCTGACCAGCACTGCTCTAAGCACATCACCGACTCGCCAAACAGGATCCCGTTGTTGGCCACGATGCCTGAGAGCTGCTCCGAAATTCAGCAGGCTGGAATGCACTGCCCAGCACTGCCCTGTCCGGTAGAACAATTCCACTTCATGCTGGCAGTTGCCGGCATTACCAAGCCCTCGCATTGAGCAGGGGGTGAAGGAATTTGGACCCTCGCACATCTGATTCCCAGCGTCCTGAGTATGACTATGTGTACATGACATCCAAGTCTTGATGTTAGGTACATCCCGGGCTGCTGGCATCGCTTCACAGTCAGAGTTGGTTAAGGTGCATTGGACTTCAAGCTTGCTGTCTCGAGGTTGGACGTCTCAAAACGGATAGGGCCAAATTGCTACTTCGGGGTTGAAAGCTACGGCTTTGGACCTTCTGCTGGCTTTCCAGACAGGATGCCGATGGGATAGCCGTGGATGTGCGCAAATCCACACACCAAAGTGGTGCCATACCTCTGTCAGAGGTCCAGGCTTCAAAATCCATGGCTGAGAGCACGGCCTCTCTTCGTATATGATCTGAAAAAGGCTTGGCAGTCTGAGGGACTCGCATGGGTTTGTCTCTACTCACCCCACAACCAACAAGCTGGCCTCAACCGTAGTCGACTGGATTCCTGTAAAACCTGCAAAGTCAAAGCCATCCTATGCCGCACCTGTGCTTGAACTCGTGGAACCGCGAGCCGTCCACAATTCGAGCGATGATCTGCAATGCAGTTTGTGGAGATACCCATGTGCAGGGGCCAGCTTTGGAGCTTTGGAATACAAAAATCCTCTGAGGCCAAATGTGCCTCTCAGCCGAGCTGAAGGTTCTCATGACAACTCAAGTCCAGCAACACTTGGAGAGGGTGAACCATCAAAAAAAGCATCTTGGTGCGGTTGGCTACGGATGCTACAGCTACGGGCTACAAAGCCGCTGCAAGCATACAATGGAAGCCCATCTGAAAGCCAAGCATGATTGTATAGGTATGAGCCGCAGAACTAGAAAACCCAACAGAAACCCCATAAAGCCTAGAAAGCTGATTGACTCAGTACAAACCACCAACATCGGCCTTTGACCAGTGTCAGGACAAGTCTGAGAAAGCGCAGGAAAGTCTGTGCAGAGCAAACTCTTCACACAACCGCTGCTCCACGTGATCTCCCGAGATTCTCCGTGACCCTTTTAAGCCCTCTATATACAAAGACATGATCTCAAGTCTAAATACCTGTTTGCTCCGCGTTGGACAACCCTTTGCACACGCCTCGCGTATTTCCAGGGCCTCGCTGCATGGTTAAAGTTCAGACTTCCACGATCGGGTTACCGGGTTGAGGACTGATGGTACACCTTAAGATCCGGGATTGTGCTAGGGCTTCGGATCTGGTGTTGGATATCTGGATTCAAACATGTTGGGTCCAGGGTAGCTTGTTGGGCATTGAATTGAGAAAGAGACCATTCGACGAACCTTCTCGCAGTCAAAGCAAGCTTGCAAATATGTTCAGTACGGGTATGCTTGAAAACAAGAGTTACAAAAACAACATGGAGCAGCATCTGTGGTATTCAAATCTATATGTATGTGTATATATATATATATGCACATGTGAGCAAGTCTCAAACCCTCAGCCTTCGGTCAGCCACTCAAAACTTGTTGATCCATACCCCCGGGAACAGGGGTTTGATTCTCCACCCTGTGGCCCTATGGATCGCAGTATGTCGCGGTTGAGAAGAAGGTTTGCGAGTGAGGGGATATGGAACAAACAACCTAGATCGGGGTATGGAACGGATGCCTGCGCGCAGCCTGTTCTGTGCCCAAACATGTTGACCAAGTTATTTTCAAATTTGCATAAGGCCGTGCTAACTATCCAAAAACAACCCGAAACCCCAAGGCGCCTAAACTACAATTGGGGCAATGGAAAATAAATACGAGCAATGGTTCAAGCAAACAGGCTTCCAAACATCCAGGAACATCGTAAGCCACGCAGAAGTTTCCATCGATCAAACCCTGGATTCCTTTATGAGCTTTACGCAAACCTGGTGAAGCGCAGGTAACCCCAAACGAACCGTGTAACTTCAATAACCCGCTGAGCCCTACACCCTAGAGAAGGAACGGCACAAGCGCTACAAAACCCACTGGAGAACACTCTGCAAAGTTGTTTCGCTAGCCTAGAAAGATTCAACCAATCGAGATCAGATATGAAAGCATGCTGTCTTTCCGGCAGCAAAAGGACAGCTCTCACTCATAGTAGCACGACGAACAATGATCATGAGTGGTGCTACCAATGAAACATTTCGCCCAGCCCCCCTAGTGAAATGCATGTTGGAACAGCCAAAAGCTTGCCGCATGCCTTAAGCCCTGAACAGTGACCCCACGTCCCATCAGCCCTAGACCCTCTTTTACCTCGAAACTCCAAACCTTTTGTAAGACTACCTTGGCTCCGGCCTTGGAGTTGTCCTCTGGGATGATTCCCAGCAGGTCGTTGGGATCCAATAACGGGGCTTCAGGCTCTACCTTGTCGGATGTCAGGTTTGTACGGTTTTAGGTTTAGGAGCCTCGGTTAGAGGGTTCAGGAGGCCAGGCTAGGCCAATGGCTTAGGCTTAGGCTTACCGCTGAAGGGTCAGGGCATGTCAGGGCCTTTGCGTCTCAGGCACAAGGGATATAGGGGTTTTAGGGGCTGTGTGCCTTGGAGGTTTACAGATTCAGAGTTCAGCGCGGGTGTCAACCAAATCATACGCTGGGAAGGCTGGCTCGAGGTGTGAGTTTCCAGGCCTTAGGCCAAGCGCATGAGGTTTGAGTGTTTTACGAGATGTGCCGGCAACTGCTAGCACTTCGTAGGAGCTTTGGAAGAAAGCTGGTGCGGGAATCCTCTCAGGCTCTCACACAGGCGAAAAGGTAATCCATACACATAGCACTAGCAATGTACGAATGGTTCAGCGTCATTCAACCTCATCCAATTTGTTGCATCCTGCCTCAGGATGCTTCGGATGCGTCGGCTCACCAACGTGCGCCAAGACCTTAAGTGCAGGAAGCAGCAGCGCAGACAAGCCGCCTTCCTGCTTGCACATGCATCCCTACCACGAGAAAGCGAGGGCGCACCTCACGGCAGATCGCCAATGCCTGCGCCCACTGCCCCGCGGACATGCGAACATATGCAGAGTACTTTGAGGGAGTTGCACTGAGTTGCAGATGCTGCAGCAACAGGTGTGATCTTGTGGGTGAACCCGCTGCCTGAGGCTCATTCTCTGCGAAGTGATCCGCAACGCCAGACTTGGATGTATGCACATCCGCACCTCCAAGCTCCTGTCTGGCAGTCGGGTTGAGCTTGGGCGATGCGGGGACATTAGGGAAGAGCGCAGTCTCACGCAGCAAGAAGCACTTGCACGATTCCGGTTTTGGCTAACCATCAACACGCACCTCTGAAGGGGTAGCTGCCAGGATAACTTCCACTTAGGATCCTGCAAAATCCGCAAGCACACGGAAGGACTGCAAGGACGGGTTGCCATCTAGGTCAATCAATAGCCGATTTAAGGTGTCAACCTAACTTTTTCCTTCATGTGGAGACCCTAAAGAAAGGACTGCCATTTGACCGCACGTAGCCATTTGTCTGGCTGATGCACAAGGTGGCCTCCGCAGTGACCACCTCGCCGGTGGAGGCCTTGACCAGGGGAGGCCCTCCCAAGAAGATGGTGCCGTTTCCTCGGTTCAGTGTGACTGAGCATGACTGAGTGGCTGAGTGGCAGATGCAGAACGTTCTGCTCTCAACGTCTGCTCAAGCATATGGGGCCCCGAAAACCATTCTTCGAATCCCTCTGGCAACTTTTTGGTTACCTCCCGCCTTCCCGAGGGAATGCAGTTTCGGGCCTTGGTGGTTGAGGTTTCCTTGGCAATACAGGAGCATTGCGGAAAAATATCTAAGTGCGACAAATGGTTATGTGCATGTTGTCATGCAGCTTGCTGCATTCAGTACCTGGGTGCTTTTGGTTTGGCACCTCGGTTCCTTTCCTAGGCAGCTTTGATGCGCCACCAGTCTAGGGGCAGCACATGTGGTTCCCTTAGAGATCAACAGGGTAGCAGACACGTTGAACAGTCCAGCACTCGAACCCACAACTCTATAACTCTATGATGACATCCCTATATGTTGAGAGATGCTGCAGACGACGACAACAACAACAACAACAGCAGCAGCAACAACAGCAACAGCAACGACAACGATAACGACGACGACGACCACGACCACGACCACGACCACGACCACGACCACCACAACAACAACAACAACAACAACAACAACAACAACAACAACAACAGCAGCAGCAGCAGCAGCAGCAGCAGCATATTGCGGACCTGGCAAGAACCTAAGCAGAGCACCGCTGGAATACGGCATGCGCTCCACACACGGCAACACAGCACACTCCTGCCAAGTCGCCCTTGACGATGATGTTCTCATCCGACATCGCCTTGCATGACTTCCATGAACCAATAACATGCCTGCAATTGGAAGCTGGTGCGGATGCAAAAGTGTTCAAGAAGATGCTCTTCTTCTTGACCCTAAATTTCAAACCACTCCAAACCCTGGGGCCAATCCAAGTCGCTGGGACATAGGCGCCGCCCGCTGTGCAGGAGCCGAGGACAGCTGAAACCTAGGGAGAACTCTGTACTAACAGTTCAGGGCCAACTGTTTAAGATAGCACTTATTGCAAGATTTATGATAACATCTAGACCAAATGACGGGTCACATGCTCAAAGTAACTAAGTAATTGTCAGTCTTCCGTCTTAGATTTGTCATTTGTCTCTGTGCAGAAGCTGAAAAGGGTCCAGGAAGGGCGCGAGTAATAGCACAGATTCCATGACGACATCCAAGCCATGCCACCTGCGGCAAACCGCGTCGGGACATCTGCGCCTTGCGTCTCGAAATCTGTGTTAGGCTTCAAAAATTCGCCGTCTGCCAGAATCAAAGCAGGACTCGCTGAACCCAGAGCATCTGTTCACCTGTGCTGAAAGTACAAGTCGTGGGGCCACCGGAACAGCAGCAGTACTTCAGTTCCCGTCAGCTCGAAGTAGGAGCCCTACCAGTGTGCCTGGTTGTAGAAGATGCGTCCGAAGTGCAGGCGTCCAGGGAATACCTTCCCGAGACGCGTGGCAGTTTAGTCTAGCTCTGCGCCCAGCTTTTCTCACAGTTCTGAGAAACCCACACGTGGCGCCAGCACCAACCAATTCACTTAATACACCTCGCCTCGTCCTGCAGTGGAAGGTATGCGCCACCACTGTCAACGAGATAGACACCTCAGCCCAGGCAGCCTTCCCACCAGAAAGGTTGTGGCCTCTTCCCGATTCTCCCAAATAGGTTTCCTCCTAAGAGGGTTCGGCATGAATGTCCCTAGGCCTTACACCCGTTGCTTGGCTCCTTGTTTTTGGAGTGCTGTATTGTGATAAATAATAACAACAGCAAAACAAACAAGAGCAGCTCCTAGCCTGTCTAACGGTATATTGGACACAGCGGATAATCAGTGGCTGCAAGGGTTCTCAACCAGAGATGGCCTTTCATCATGTGTGAAGTGACCCCTTGCAGGCAAGAGAACCCTACTGTAGTCAAGAATGATGCAAGGAAATTCGCAATGACTCGTCTGCGTTTGCCACCTACAACAGCAACGTGCATGCACAATAGCAGCAACAGAAGCGGGTATCTTAAAGCCCAGGCAGGGCACAGGGCAAGTTGTTCTCTAAGGCGATCTGCTGCGCACGGAGATGCTTGCTGACAGTCATAGGGTAGTAGGTGCCACCTCAACAGAGCTTGGGCCAGCTTGGGCCAGCTTGGGAGCTTAACAGCTGTGGGGAGGTTCCTGCCATCGAACCTCACACTGCACGCATCCGAAGCCAGGCCTTTGACTGTGGCATCATTAGCAACGAAGAGAACCTCCTTGCCATGCACGAGGCCGACGCCGGTAACAATTCCTGCCACATATTTGCAGGAGCTCTTCAGCATCTGTGCTTTCAGCAAATCCTAGCAAAGCCGCTTCCGCCTGCAGAGTGCGCCATGCCGTCATAGAGATCGTTGGCTGCAAGAGCCGAGAGCTCCAAGAATTCGGTGCCTGGATCCTTGCACAGCAGTGTTCCCTTTAGGGTTACACCCCGGGCATGCAAACATAGGTGGATGTTGTTCCATGGCCAACACACGTCAATCCCTCTTGTACGTCTCCTCAATTCAAAGGACTGAGAAGGCCGAATTTCCTCATGATCCCGGAAGCAGCATCCTGTGATTTGAAGCTCTCTGCCATTTGGTCTGCCGAGGCCTGTGAAGTGTTTTGAGCCTGTGACTTCTCAGGTGTCCCGCAAACTACTGCTTAAAGTCTGACTAGACGATTGGCAGGCCAATCTTGCCGTGAACCCTACATAGCCTCAGTAGAACCTCTATGACTCTATGATTTCTACGAACGATCCCCAGAAAGCATGCCAAGAACTTTCAGGTGATGGGCCAGGATCGCTTTGATGCGCTCGCGTGGCAAGGCCTGGTCGTGGCGAAGCTCATGTCAAGTCAAATGCTCGCTCCTCAGTTTTCAAGATATGAAGAACGAGAGAGCACAGCCTGCAAAAGAAAGCCCAAACAGCACAACCTCGACTCCAGCATGACTACGCTCGATGCACAAACGAATCTAATTTTTTCGGTGAAAAGAGTTGTGGAGACAGATGTCTGTTTGGTGAGGGATTAGTCATAGTCACATCGCACACCAATACAAACTCCACCCTGATGTCATCAGCTTTACGGAACACACCCTGCACAATGCCCATGAGACCATCCAAAGCATCAAAAAGGATGTGATGACAGCGTAGACAACTTTAAAACGCCTTGCTCGTCCCTGCTGCAGGCCTTTCCGCGAGCATGGTGTTGCTCAACTGACTGCTCACCTGCTGGATTACAAGACTGCTCCTCGGAACAGCTGTTACTGCTCCTATGTCATGGCCTGACCTCGAAGCAGGGTCCAGGAGCCTGGCTCCTAGGTCTTGAAGTTGCTATGAGAGGGGCAGAAGGCAGTCTTGTCATAAGAACATGTAGTTACTGAAGCAGCTGTGCGCCATTCCCCTCCCAAGCACATCCGTGCTGCAAGCCTCCGAATTAATACACACGTGTTAAAAGATGAGCCTGCGCCATTGCCCAGAACAACATCCATGCCAACAACAAAGCATCAAATCGAAGGAAAGAAACATGTCCTCAAGTTGCTTCACTCGTGCCTTCCAGCCAATCACACTCTGATCACCCTACACACTTCACGCCCAAAATGCAAAACAAACTACAGACTCAGACATCATGACGAACAAGAGAACTGAAGGCTGAATGACAGGCCTCCTCCGCTGTAGACAACCTCCAGACGCTTGTTGAGCTGCTCCTTAGTTCTTCAGGACAGTGTCTGAGCCACATGGCATGAAACCGGCGAGGCGGCAAGCATGAGAAAGAAAATGAGGCAGCCTACCTGAAATGTCCACAAGGTCATGACATCATATCTCGCGGGTCGGAGGGGCGCCCCCACACACGACTGAATCAATGTGCACACCTGAAAAACGCGGCCAGAAACGCCCAGCGTCTATCAGAGCCGTGTGATGAGCTGTCCGCTTCAGGAAGGTCTGGCAGGCAGCGGTTGATAATGAATGGCAACAATTATTCATGCGTTTTTATGGTGACATCAGATGCAAACCCTCAGTAGGCGTCGTACCTTATTCTGACTTTACTCAAAAGACCTGGCAATGTCAAGACCCTTCAGTCAGTTGGAGTCACTGGAGGAACAGAATACACTCCAAACATGCACCCATGCACAGGCTTCAGCTGGGCAAAGGAAAGCCAGGATAATGCACACCTGAGCACGACTTGGTACACGTCTCGTCTTGCACTGCAAGCCACAAAGCCCTGGGCGTCTGGCAGAATTCCAAAGCAAACTTCTGCGGCGAATGTGAAGGAGCCTTCTTCGGCCGGCATACCCCCACAACACAGCTTATCTGAAACCCAGAAACCCTGCATATCCCGACAATCCAAATAAACTCTTCTGACAGTTCCTCGTCATTGTGACGCGGCGCTGGGAGCTTGATAGTACTGGCTGTGGCACCCTGGCATGCCTTCACACCTTGGCTGAGAAGTGGAAATATGGGCGCGTGCATTCTTTTGACACTTGCTCCCAACAAGCATCTATCATGACTAATGATAATGAGACTGGCTGCCACACACAAAAATGTGACTGGCGTGGAGACTATGACTCCATCATGCCACCGTCTGTGTTGAATTGCTTCACACTTAGAAACTCCTCCGGGGAACGGGAATGACTGCCTCACAATCCCTCAAAACCTGGCTCACGGCCTTGAAGGCTAGAAACCTTCCTCCTTGCTGTACCACACAGAAGTGGCATCTGCCATCGCAGAGCCGACCAGCCGCCTGAGGCAAGCGGGGGACTTGCAGCTACATGCTCGAAGAAGTTGAAAATGTGCTTGGGTTAGAGTGTCTGAGGTCCGCCTCCTCAGAAACTGGTTCAAATCCTCCGAAATCTGTATAGTAGCACAGCCAAAACGATAAGCAAAAGGCGCGTTCCAGCCCGACCAAACCATAAGCTGATGCTCATAATTGCGACACTCCACACTTTGATGGAAAAGGCGGTAAACCCTGAACCACCATGCAATGCTGCTATCACGCAATCTGATCTGAATGACTCAAGGTACGAGTTCCCAAGTCCCTGGCTCAGCACCCAAAGCAATCAAGATCCCATGAATCGAAACTCAATGATCCTTGTCACAATTCTAATGCACCCCAGGGGGTGCAAATAGCATGCCTAGCTCAGCAAAATATTGCCAATCCAGCACAGCATGTTAAAGCAAATTGCAGCCTGTCAAAGATCACCAAGGCCATTCAAGAAAGTCTACTCTCAAAACTGAAGGCAATTCTGAGACGCCCTGTCATCCTTCCCGACCAGGTCACACGCGGCTCGCGGCAGCCATGGCTGCAGTCTCTGCCGCAGCGCCCTGCCCGTCCTCAGGCACTGGGCCCTCCAAACTCTCAACATCAAGAGCAGAGAAGGAACCGAAACAGGCCTCGGGCACCAAAGCATCCAGAACCTCAGCGCGTCTCTAGAAGAAAGGCTGCTGACTGCTTTGAAAGTATCGGCAACTTGCATAGGCATTGGTCGCCCTGTATGTTGCTCAAGATGCTCACAATCTTGATCGGAAGTTGCTCAACCAGTATCAGGACGAGCAACTACAAGATCTTGGCCGGCACTGACCGTCTGGTTCGCAGCCGCAGAGACCTTGAGAACCTCCACTTCATGCAAATTCACAGCTTTGAGCGCTAATCTTCGAGAGTTGCGCACTGATGCAATGGTGTCCAATTTCGCTGCTTGTCTGGCTTCTAAGATATCACTGATCTTGATGTGCCCTTACCATCCCTTACCCTGGTTCTGGGTTGATGGAGATTCAGCCGCCCAGAATTACCGAGATCCACCATGATTTACTTCCTCACAAAGCTTCAGAAAGAGCCTGAGTCGCGTGAACTTGCTCACTCTGCACAGAACCACCTCGGAAACGCCTGCAAACTGACCTTGCAGCACCACAACCCTCCACGATGAAACCATCACCGGCACCTTTCCAGCATGGGGAGACCGCACCTGCAGGACCGAGCAGCTTTTGCAAAGCAAGGTGTATGGTTTGGCCACTTACCACATCGCGCTTCTAAGGTCTCGTGACAAGATCACCAGCACATGAAGTTCACAGAGTAGGAAGCATGGGATTTGCGGCGAGCCTCAGTGCAGTGTATTCCGAATTCTATGACTCGTAAAGAGTGAATCTGGAGCTCCGCAACTCTTGGGATTGCCTCCGTCTCCAGCTTCATGGCCGAGAGCAAAACCAGCAACTGCCCCTCCTCGACCTGACATCCAGAGTGTTCGGCTGCTCAACTTGATAGTTCTGGATGTAGTGGGCTCTAAACTTGCGCACAGATGCGAAGACAGTTCAGGAAAGCCAACTTGCAGACTCGCAAATGTGCCGCTAGAGGCGGAACCGACCTCAAGAGCTCCTACTCCAGCCCGCAGCTGCAGTGTTCTAGAAAAAGAAAAACACACGAGAAACCCTAAGAGCCAAACTGGGGCAACATCCCTTGAAAAGTTCCTAGAACAATGGCAAGATTTTGCACTGCGCCTCTTGGCCCTCTTGCACACAGCTCTGCACCACGGTGGCCTGAATGGTTGGCTGCGAATCAAGCACTCATGCAACAAACCCCATTTTGCAGATGTCCGATCCTATGGCTCTGTGTTTATGCACAGAAGTATGCACTACCAAAATGATATCTGAAATCCCAGTCAACAATCCTCAGGGCCTGTCTGTCAAAGTCCTATCCCACAATGCCCCAAAAGCCTCCAGAGGCGACGACACTGAGAGCTCCTGTCGCTTGAGAGCCACCTCAGCTTCTTTCTAAGGTGTCGAGATCTTGAGCACGGGCCCATGGCAACTGAGTGGCAGGAGCCACGTCTCTTATTCAGGTTGGACTCAAGCTTTGCTACCTCGCCCGTTAGTCTAAAACTTACTGCCGACGCATATCCAAAAGCATGCATGAATTTAAGATGCGGCCATTGAAGCCGACTACCACAACGGAACCCTGAAACGTCATTAATATGAAGTAAGCAGCTGCCCTGATCGGGCCCCCCACAGGCTTTGACGCTTGGCCTCAGTCTGGCTGTAGCGGCTGGAGGGGTCGCAATCGGTTATTCCATGTGCCCTGCACTTCCTAGAGCAGCAACACTTTGAGCCCGCTTTTCCCGTGGCACCAAAGAACCACAGTTCATCAGCCAGGCTCGTAGGGCAGGGCTCTCTAGGCATTGAAGGTTGGATTTTGTCATTGACCTTGACTCCGGCTTCACTCTAGCTCAAACAAAACCGCTCTTCCTGTAGCAGCACATGCAATGGCGATTATCTTCAACAGCCACTCCTACTGCTAGCTACAGCGTTACAACTGATCATTGTCATACTTAGTAGTAGTAGTAGTAGTAG